CACTGCATTTACATGAACATTCAGGACAGTCAGATTTCCCACTTAGGTGTTACACCATKAATTTATCCACTATTTATCTCCTTGAAATAGGAATGAATCCAGTCATCCCACACCTGCTCATTTCCCAGAGAGACAKGCAAGATTCCACTGAGACAGAGAAACAAAATGATTTCTCATGGTGCCCTTAAAAAAAAAAACAAACAAACAGCAGCAGCTCAAATAGGTGAAAGTGGAGCAAACAGCTGTTCCCTGTTCTGTGGATGCTGATTAAAACTGGCCTCTTCTTGTGTAGGTGGAAATCTTTTCCAGGTAATAGAGCCTGCCTGGACTTAGGGCTCCTGGCCTTGTACCCGTGCTCCAAACGAACAAGACTGTGCCCCAAAATACAACATCTCATAGTCAGCTTAACTTCATAGCAAGAACCTCCAGTGCAGCTGGTGATTTGGTTTAGAAAGGTAATAACATAAAGAGAGAAAAAGGGGAGAGAAKCCAGGTGACTGTACTCCTCCTCAGCTTGGCTTTGAGCTGGCACGGCCCTGGCATCTCAGAGCCCCTGATTTATTTTCCCTTCCATGGGCTTTTCATTGGCACCAATTAATATCCCACATTTCCCTGTCAACAAAACATTTTCATGCTTTGAGGGTGTAAAAGTTAAACTCTTTGGAAAGAGCCTCAAAGCACACAAAGCAGATGAAGAGCTCTCACTTGTTTAGCCCTTCAAAGGMCTAATTTCTGCAAGGTGACAATTTGCTTTGGTCATAGAGCAAGCCTGTGGAAGCAGAAYGCTGCAGACACGATTTTTTCACAGTGCTGTAGGTGGAGCCAGCTGTATYGGGTTAAAGGCAGCACTTCCAACACAGATGAGTCGTTTCTAATAAACAGAAATTGGAAAAGCCTCCAGCATCGAAACAATATTAAAGATTGAATCCTTCTGGGAAAGACATGTGATACTCGTCTGGCAAAATTGCTGCCAGCCATTYGACACTATAATTGTAGGACATTAAGTTTCATCCCAAATGCCAAGCATTAAGTGATGTTCCTGCATGAGGTGACCACAGCCTCACTTCCTTCTGGAGGAAATCTAGAYCAACAGCACCTGCTGAGCACAGGGTGACCTCAACCAGCCTCCAGAAAGACACAAAATTTGCAGTTTGACTGTGGCACTGCAGCACTGAGATGATTTGGGGTTTCTGTATGGAACATRTAGCTTGAGACTGGAACCAGTGATGTTCCCTGGCAGCAACAGGGGGCTGGAGTCCTTAATTTTGGTGTAGGCAGTTCAGGCAGCCCCAGCTCTGTGCAGGGAATTGCCCTGGAGAGCTCTAAACAGGCCCAAAGGCTACAGCTGCAAACATGTGCTGATGCCTCTCCTTGTAGGGTTCAATTCTGTAAAAGACGACTCACTTGGGGGTCTAAGCCTTGTTTTCAAAGACAGCTTGCAAGCTGATTTACAAAAATGCCACAGCAATTTAAAATGTCTGCTGAGGTTTACGGAAACACCCAAGCAGATTAAGGTGCTGAATGTTTTCAAACGTTACTCGTGCCCTATGCTGGTCTTGTGTCCCAGGGTTGGTGGGATCACCCAAGGCAACTTCAGATTTTCTGTCTCTTTCTTTCTACCCTTGTTTTTTCCACTGATTTTTACTTTTCYTCTGGAATGTGTACATAATATTCTGTTTTAAGTATAACAGCCTGTGATCTGGACCCAAGGTGTATCTTTGGGTGCTGATATTTTAGGGACTCATGCTCTGATTCGGAAGATCTGTGCTGGATGCTCTGTGGGAATATTGTGCTGTGTGCCAAYGACAATAAATACTGGCTGGCATTTTCCAGCCTCAGAGCTCTCACGAACCATTGCAGGGAGCTTGGCTGCTCATCCATTTGCCACGCATTTTGTTAAGTGGGCAGCCTGACAGTGGCACTAGCACAGCTTCATTTTCTCCTAACAGCTTCAGGACACCATTTCTTAAATCAAGACAAAGCCTTTGAAGTCAGTGAGTGGAGCAGGCAGCGCTGGCTTTGTTACAGCAATCAGAAATGCAAGTTGAAAGCCTGGATGCTAATTGCCAAGACTGCTGCCATATAATTAGCATATACAGTCTGTACCCAAATTAAGAAGAACTCCCTTGGAAGCTTATTATGCCCTAATATATCCCCAGTATGTCTGCACATACAGCTGTGCTCTGCCCCACCTTGGTGTTTCTCAGCAGCTGTGAGGAGCTGGGTGAAGATCAAGGCTAATCGAGCTTAACAAGGTGTCTGCAGAAATCTGTCCCACGTGTTAGACACTGGGCAATGCATGAAAGGACTCCAGGCTGATGGAAATGCCCATCAAAGGACCTGTTAAGAGGAGAGATGCTGCTCTGTGCACCCACCCTGACCTGCCAGAGCCTCTCTCCGTGTTCTGCTCTGCAGCTCCACGTGTGTGGCTGCATTTTATGTGTTCATAATGGTATTGTGTCTTCTGTGCTGACACCAGGCCAACAGCCCTGAGGACAAGGGACAAGGACAAGGACCTGGCCTGCTGAGTCTGGTCTGTGTGGGARGAGAGGGAATGATCCCAAGCCTCCTGCTTCCTGCCTCTGGTCTGGAGCTGCAGGACATCAGCCTCGAGGAATGGCCAGTACAGTCAGCAGTGCAGCTCGTATTTTAGCAGACTGAATTCTGAAGTATTCTTTCCAGACTCCCTAAAATATCAGGTGTTMATCTATATGATATCATCTCTTCCACTGCACAGGGATTTGGCCATTTGAATTCTTTTCATACTTATGATTCAACTTTAGTAGTTTTCACTAAAACACACTATTGGTCGTGTTGCATTTAGTTAAGTACATAGTCTGGTTTCTGCAGGTAAATACTGAGTTCCTGCACAAAATTCCACAGACACACCAAATACAGCCTGTTTTATTTATCATGCAACTGTGTTCATTTCTTCTTAGAGCCCTACACCTTGTTCATTCACTCACAGTATCTTTGTACCTTGATAGTGTGAAACTAGCCTTAGATTAATACTTTTTAAAAATCTTTATATGTACTTCAAACACCTGCCATGTTCAGATAATGCACAGTGGATAATCTTCCTATATATCTTTTCCCTCATGTAATCCCAGTGATTTTACACAGCTCTACTCCTGTTTCACACAGGGAGAGAAGTGAAGGAAGCCCAGTGGGATAAGGCCAGGCGAGAGCACGTCATTCCCTGAAGGATAGGCCAAGAATCCTTGGTATTATCTGTTACAGCAGCTCATTGCTATTCCAAAACAGAGAAGCAGCCTTCAAGCCAAAGGCTTTATTCCTACTTCTARTTCTCCTAAAGAGAATTTATGTGGAGGGGACATAAATGAACACAGAAGAGCGTCCAAACTTGCATCCTTTACAATCCTCCTAAAAGCTGTTGTTTTTCCACATCTCCACTATGGTTTAATGGCAGAAGCAATATTGGAAGATCTCTCTGCCAGGATCCATTATTTTTAAACCACATGCTGAAGTCCTAATGCCTTATAAAGCCACTTCATGAACAATGAAAATCCAACTATTACTAATCAAATTGGTTTTAAAATCCAGTCATTTTCATCATTCTGTGAGCAGGGAGACTGGATGGAGATGAGGCAGGGACARCAGCTTGGTATTTAATTCCATCTTYCTTTTAAGCCAYAGATTTTCTGGACAAATAATTTTTTCCCCCAAAATTTTAYTTCCTCAGTTGTACAATGCTGCAGAACAACTATGTGAAATCCTTAGACACCAGGGTAATTGTAGAAGCAAACAGAGGGCTACTTATGCTTTCAAATCATACATTTAGCCTTTGATTTTCACCTCTTTTTTATAGTGTTTTATTTGCTGAGTAAATCAGCAAATGCCTGTGACTCTCAATTAGGTTGCCCAGGTATCTGTGGGCCACTATGGGTTTTGGCTGTGCCAAACTGCTGTAAAATYGATAAAAAATACACTTAGATGTGCTTTAACATCTGATAATGGGGACGTGCTGCTTTGTGGAGGTTTGGTTTCCAGGATGACCCAACATAACACAGCCTASATGGAAATAAACAGTGAAGGGCTGGGGTGAGATTTAACATTAAAATTCCTTTCAAGTTTCTATGACTCTGTTTACTGTCAGTGAGAACATAGAAACCCTCCAGCATTTCACTGTTAGCACAGAAGCCACCTAAGCACTGAGGCAGCTCTCATTCCAAATGGAAAATCAGGATAATGCCTCCAGTGTCAGCACTCTCTGTGAGGGTCCAGTGCCTTGAATAAGAGAGGACAGGAGAGTGCAGGGACACATCCCTCTTCACAGCTGCTCTTCCACCCAGAGCTGTGCCCCCACAGCAGTCACACCCCCAAACGTTTTTGGTGTGTCCCCAGGACACTGCCCTCGAGGTCAAGAGCTCACTGCACCAACAGCACGGCTGCAGCTCCACAGAAGGGCAGAGCTTTGCTCTTACCTGAGCTGAACTTTAAAACCCCAGATGTTCTCTGCTCCCAAGGCTCCACTCAGAATGTCCTTTCTGTTTGGAAAGTCATTTATGCTGCATAAGCATATGCTCTTCTGGAGCCCTCAAGTAATGAAAGAGGGTAAGAGCACTCTGGTAAAAAAAAAAAAWGTGCAAATGTAAGTATCAGGCTCAGCTCRTCCCCACCTTTTCACAGTTAGAGTTGAAAGTCAGTCCGTGGTTCAGCCTGGGGCTGTTGCAGAGCTTGTGGTGTCCACTCAAGGGGAAAGCACAGACACAAACAGAGCYTTTTGTGTCCCTCCTGCCAGACACTGAGCAATCCCAACCCCTCCTGAAGCCAAGACAGCTCTAAGCTAGCTTTCAGTAACAGCTGGAAGYACACTGACCCTCCTCCAGTGTAACAAATTCTACTCTGAATTACACTCCTTTATCAATGTGTGAAAATATATTCACAGAGTTGCACTCAGTGCTGAGCTTAAATCAACTCAGTCAAGCCGAGCCCAGCCAAGAGCAATAGCAATACCAAACACYAGGGCTGTACCATGGTAAGAGCAAGATGGTTTATTATATAATGAAGAAGAAAAAAAAAATCATTTTCATCAAGTATTCCCTCACAGGGGTCAGTACAATATAAAGGAAATAAGGAGAAWTGTACAAAACAACCTGACAAGAAGGCTCTAGATGAAACATGTTCAAAGCACTTGCAAATGATGTTGCTGGACAGATGCAGAGGAAATTAAATCAAGGGATTTTTTCCCCCTGCAAAACACAGACTGAAAAACTGATTTTATTTTTCAAAAATGCAATTCTGTCTTTACCTGCAGATATTTCAGGTTAGAGACACAATTTTAGCTGTGATACATTTTTTAAAGATGAGATTCCCAGAACACTGTTTGACCACATTTATTTCAAAGTGGATTTTATTTTCCCTTCCAACTTTATGCAGGCGGCAAAGCCCAGCTCAAAATAACAGAAGCTTAGCCACTAACTTCAAAGAAACCAGGTCCATACTCCATTTTCTGTTATCCTTTGGCAACCAYAGCATTTGTTTTTCCATAATCAGCAACAGATCTCTGTCTCATCCAGAGCATCCTTGTATGCAAGGTTATAAAATAAAAATTAAAAAAAAAAAAAAATCACAAAACTTTTTACTCATATAAGAGAAAACATCAAGGGTATGAAATTCCTGGAGGTTTTCAAGGCTTGCTCCTAACTTAACTAGAGTCAACATACTTCCAACTATTTTAGCTGGAGCAAGACCAAACCCTTACAGAGCCAGAGATRCACAGTCCTCAAAAAGCAAAACTGTAAGAGTGTTATAACCCAAACAGAGGAGTAAAAGACAAACTTTAGCAATGTACCTTGACTGGCCCCAGCCAACATTAATATCTTTGCCTTGGGGATTTTTTACTCTTGACCTGGGCAAGATTCCCATTGGTTACAGTCAGAGCATTACTTAAGTAATGTAGCAAAAGGACATCATGCATTAGTAAGCTAAAATATGAATCCATGCTTATGGCAATAGCTTTCCCTTCTAATGCCCTATAATGGGCATCTAGGAAAGGAAATAAGACAAGCAGCTTTACAGAAAAAAATCTGCTTTGTTATGTTGATGATCATCCTAAGCAACTCCACAGAAGTTTTCAGGGTTCCTTTCAATGTGCAATGAAGAAAGCAAAAAGTCAAAAATAAACCAGTATTAGGCAAGATTATAACAGATGTATACTCATTAGTGCAGAATGCAAAACAAAAGCTAATGCTTGATACAAACAAAATAGCATCACTTTCAACTCCTCACAAATTCATGGATTCCACATGGTTTACTTCCGTGCCTTAAAAGAAATGTTTAAATGAAGCATGAACCTCGTGTCTCTAAAAATATCACCCGAGTTAGCAAAGGAACCATTGGAGGAAAAACAAATTGGAAATGGACATTTAATAACAAGTTGCAAGGAAATCCCCATTTTGTTTAGCATGAAAAGAAACAAAGATMCAYGGGTTGGATTTGGTTGGGGGWTTTTGGGTTTGGGGTGGGTTTTGCTRTTTGGGTTTGGTTGGGTTTTTTGCATTAAGGGAAAGAAAACAATACCTATGTGGGAGGAAAAACATTTTCACAAATATAATAAATAATTGCTCTGATCCAAAAGCAAAGTGCGATGTAGAATTTTTCCACTTAAAAACAACCTACAGCATAATGCCTTAAATATTAACAAATCAATTAGTGGTCAGCACAGTAAAATAAATATGAACATATTGATTTACATTTTGTTTCTAGCAGCAAAGGTCATTAACCTACTGGCCAATGTGACAGCTTCACAGAAGTCCTGTTTCTTGGGTTTGGTACTTGGTTTAACGTCAGAAAAAAATTAATTAGGTCTGGAAAATGGCACTTCAGCTGTACAGTGTTCTCTCCAGCCCACCTATGTCAAAAGGATTTGCCCAGGACATGTTTTCAGTATGTTTTGAACAGTGGTTTGGARAACACTTTTCACAAAAAGAAAWAAAACCCAGATCCACTCAGTATCTYGCTGACRAGTATGAGTTTGGATTGTCCTGAGCCCTAASGATAATGGGGAGGTTGGGTGTTTTCTCTTTGCAGTCAGCAGCTTCCTATGCTGAAGGGGGAGTGGGAAAATCACGAGCCATTAAGCAGTGCTGCAGGGGGAGAGGAAAGCCACGGTCACTTTAGGAAGGGCCACAACAGAACACTGGGGCAAAGTCAGTCTCAGCTGCTTCTCCCAGCCAGACATCTCCTCCACGTAGGAAACCTGTCCTACGTTGTCACTGGAGTCCCTCACATCTGCAGGAACAGCCCCATGTCCCTGCCCCACACACCCTCCCAAAAGCACCAGCACAAARGGGTGCTGTGGCACATCTGCACAGCTGGAGCAAACCAGGTTTTGATACCTCCAGCAGTCACTGGAAACACCAAATGAGGAGCAGAAGCAGCAACCAAAGCTMCGTGGGGAACAGCTGATTTTTGGGATGCATGAAAGCAAGCAAAAATGCCTCCTCATCCCCAGCAATAAGCCAGACAGCATCAATACCTACAGCTCCTCCAGCTCRTATTTTTCACAAAGGATTGTTTTTCTGCTACTAATTGCAGCCTGTGGGAAATGCCACGCTTTAATTTACAGCCAGAGGGATGCTTAACCRTAATGCAGGGATCACTGAGCTGAAGCACGTTGTGGTAAGGCTCATCTAACTCCCTCTGTCCCTTTGGACAGTGGGGTCAGACTGGCAAACCAAAGGACAGGACACAAAGAGAAAACCAGAGCCCTTCTGTCAACGCAAACAATGAGGGGGAAAGGCTGATAAGAGAGTTTGGAAAGGCAAGTGTTCTTCAAGCCTACACAAAGAGTGAGGCAGGGGCAGGAAAGCACAGAAGAAACAGACTTAAATGCTGTCAGAACTATTCAGTGAGTGCTCTACAACCTGGGCACCTGTTCTACCTTCCCACRTGCTCCAGGGCATAAACTGCATTTAACTGAGTTTTGCACAAAAGAGGGGAGGGAATCCCATTCATGAGGACACCCATTGCYCTGCTTCTATCTGCAGGGCAARGATCAGCATGGAATGATCTAGGGGRTTGTTTCAACTACTTTGCAAGAGCTCACCTTGCCTGGATTTAGGAAGGCTGCACTCAGGTTGTGTGGCTCCCTGATGCTCACTCAGGTAGCTGAAGAAAACAATACTGAGTTTCTGAGGAGCACCCAAGTGCAACAAACCTTTTGAAGGTGGACTAGAAAGATGAATAAAGTCTATCTGTATTTTTTTGTTAGTTTACTCATTCTTYATTTTTTAAGGCAAGCAGAAAGTCCTTCTGGAATGCAAGAGGCAGGGTCAGAATAGCAATAAAAGGAGGCGGGGAATCTACCTTCAACACTATGCACTAGGTACAATTTATCCCAGCTAAAATCCTACTGAAACTAATGGAGCTGCATYGAATTCCATACACTGCCTGAAGAGGGGTGGCAGATGAGCCATGGTGCTTTCTTGACCCTCTCTCTGTACCTGCCACTGAAGTCAGTGAAGCTCCAGCAGCACAGTGGGGGATCAGGTCCAACAAAAGCCACCAACATGCTGCACTTGCCACTGGAGACCATGTTCTAATGACACKGTGAACTGGACTCCAATCACAGCTCCTCACATCTACCCAAACCAGTAGAAGGATAAACATCAGCCCTACTTCTGCTCTTTATCCCCTTCCTACTTTTGCTAAGGAATATCAAAACAAACACACACACCTTTTGAGTTTGTCTACAATTAAAAAGCTKCTTTAACAAGTTTCATGAATACTTCCATGTGGTCAAAAGGCTGTTATTCGAACAATCATCACCCCTGACATTTAAATCCTACATAACTTTGGATTTTTTGATGGTCCCTAGAACACATCAAGGAATGGAATTCAAACCCATCCTGAGATGGAAAAAGAAAGAGGGGTAAAAGTCATCCAATATTGGTAGCTCTAGCTCAAAGGAGCATTTCATCTTTTCTCTATAAACACCCACTAGGCTTTGCCCAGGGAATGGCATGGAAGTGGGACACACCAATAGCTGCTACCCACAGAGCAGGCAGTCCTGTTCTTCCAGAGCAAGGACTGCAGGCCAGAGACCAATTCTTGCTCTCTTGTACATCACTATGCAGAGAAATTACAGCTGACAGCTCCTTCCATCTATTCTCAACATGACTCAGTCTAAGGCAGAATCAGAGCACAGCACATCTCACCCGAGCAGGTCTGCTTTCCAGTTCACTCCATTAGGCCACTGAGATCCCCAGACACTCTCTTCAGGGAGATAAGCTACACTCATGGTACATTAAGGTGTCCAGGCAACAATATCAAGAGCAGAAGAATATTTCTGAATGGGGCTAATCAGCTGAAATCCATGTCAGACGTTCAGAATGGAATCTGCATCACAGAGGAAGCAGTAAGAGGCAAGACCCTCCAAGAAGGAGAGGTGTGCACAGCCTTTCTACAAGGATGTGGAAAGAACCTACTCTGGTAGGGTAGGCAGACTGTAATGGGGGCCAGAAGCAGCAAAGTGTGGACAAGTACACCACCTAATTCACACATTCACAGGCCCTACTCCTGCCCCTCTTTTCCAAGCTGCCCAGAGATTCAGTCTGCTCTAGGGAGGCGTTCTGGAGCACTGCTCTGTGACGTGCCAAGAAGGGAGCGGGCTTTGCCCACGGTCCACCCATGTGGTAGAACCRCAGAAGTTCCCAGCACTTCTTGGGCTTTGCATATTCATGCAGAAGGCTGGGGAGAAGACACAGTTCCTCCCCGCCACTCAACACAATGAAGAGCCTTAGATAATTAGCAAACAAACACCAAAAACACTTCATGTCCTGCACAGCGTCGTCCTGCCGACTATGATAGAAAAAAAATCTAACCATACCAGTAAGTTTGCAGGTGTTACATGTACAGCTCGAGAGCATACTCCTACCCAATGGAGCACAAAGCAGGGCATGTGGCAAACAGCAGGCGAGAGACAAGCTGCTCTAGTTGCAAACTACTACCRAGGGTGGCGCGTCACTGGACGTAGCCCAGGTTCTCCATCTCGYTCCTGTAGCGCTGCTCGGACACTTTGCTCTTGTGCTGCTTGCTCTCCAGGTGCTGCCTGAACTCCATCTCCTCGCTGGCGCCCGCGTTGCACATGGAGCAGTAGAATTGGCCGCTGGGTGTCACACACATGGCCAGGTCACGGGGGATCCTCTGGCGAGAGCGGGGGTTGAAGTAGGGACCTGCGGAGCCAACAGAAAAGCCTGGCTTATCTGGGAGGAAGAAAAGCTTGAGGTAGCACAGTGACAATGCGTAAATCCAACGAATGATTGAAAAGCAGACAGAGATTAGCTTCTTTAACTGATTAGTCTGAATCTTATTTTGCCAAAACTGCTGCGCTGATTTCCAGATTTACCAGGGGTGCAGCACACAGGGCAGCAGCTGGAATTTCACAAAGCAGTAGAGTGGGCTTGGTGCCCCAGTCTTATTGAAAATCAGGAGTTTAATCATTTAAGTAACAAATCAATTCTCTTTTTTTCATAACCATCTAGAAYATAACCAGAACTAGAACAGTCTTTTGATTAGAATAAGCTGCCTCAGTTTAAAACTCACAAAATGATATTTAATAGTTCTTAAAAAGATTCGTATTTTTCACATGACAGTGATTAAAATGACATGATTAAACCAAGCTTCGCATGGAATCAGGGTTTCAGCTAATGTGTGCTTGTAAAACAACTTGAAATGAAAAAGAGAAATAGATGCCTGGCTGGAGACTGTAATATACTCTTTAAATCATAGTAAAGAGGCAAAGTTAGTATCTAACACCTGAGGAAGGACTCTATGCTAGGAACAGATGGTCTTAGAGGGAGGCTAACATGCTCTCTCATTCTGGTCATGGGAGTGCAAGTACAGGTTGATGTGCCACAGTAGGAGTCAAAGCACCTGGCCACCTGCCAAGAAAATAAAGCAGGAAAATTGTCACCACTTAGAGCAGCCTTAGAGACAGGCAGATGGTAAATTAAGCTACAAACTGAGAAACAGAACTAACAAGCAGGCTGACAAAACAAAGCAACTTTAGCAGCTGGGAACAAAAACATGCAGACATGAAGGATTAGCAGAGCTTGGACCAGCTCCTTTCACAACCTGATTCTGCTAAAACAGACCTCAGAAACAGAAGAAAAACAAGTCTGTTTATTATTAATTACAATTCCAACTACAAATAGATGCAAGCTCCAAGTTACCTGTGTTGTTCTGAACCGTATAGGTATTTCTTCTGTTCTGCATCATCTTATATTCATTCCCTTCTTTCCTTGCCCTTCGTTTGCCCAGTTCTGACGCATCCCTGCAGATTAAACAAATACCAACAGCTGCAATTCAGAGTTTTCTGACAAAAGGACTGCCAGAGACACTGCCACACGCTTTCAGCCTGAGCATGAGGTTGAACAATACCTACGAGAATGAGTTATTCTGTGCCTCTGCAAGACGCAGCCGCTTGGCGTGATTTTTCCCTTGGTAGTGAGCCTGTGCCACAGCCGGAGAACTAAATGAGGCATCACAAAGCTTGCAGTAATCATTCTCTGTAGCTAAGATCACTCGGCCACCTGGTTTACTGGATCCCATCTAGCAGCAAAGGGAGAGACAGCATGTGAAACACAAGAAGGTTAAATCCTTGAAACGTTTCAGTCGCGGGGACTGAGACCAGCGTTGTCTTCATCAGACAGCACAAGAGCTGGAATTAAAGCACTTGGACTAGGACACTCTCAAGTTCTCCCCAAAGTGTTCTTACAAGAACTTCATTTTTCCTGCCTCAGCCTCCAGGAGAGTCTGAAAATTCCTGGCCTGAGGTGGAGAGGAAAGCAATCTGAACAAACAGCTCTGCAATAGCCACAGAGGCTTGTTTATATCACAGCAATGATTGAACCTCTCCTGACTGCTGGGAGCTGATGAACAGTGACTTGCACACTGAGCAAGACACACTGAAAGGTACAGGTGCTCCTCTCTCCTATTTATGTCCACCTAATCTCTCCACAGCTGTCTTTACACAGCTCCCTGACCACAGCAAGAGGGAAAAAAAAAAACCCTCAGCAGCAAAGCTGCCAAAGCTCTGATTCTTAACCTTCAGGTAGGAGGACATCTGAATCCAGACTTCAAAGGAGAAACCCAGTCTCACATGAGAAGCTCCTGCTATCTGAAGGATATCTTGTCTTGTGGAGTCAGACCACATACACTGGTCCAGGCACCCCCTCAGCACAGAATATCCAGGGAAAAATGTTTTGTAAACAGTGCAGCAGCAGTGATTCATGCAGCCATGTCACTGCAGCACTTGACAAGCCGACTTTCTTTCACCTCTCCTTTAACACTGCTCAAACTTATACATACACACAATTTTGACTTCTAGCTCACATGAACCCTCATGTGGCCCCAGAATGGTATTTTTATTGCATGGGCCATTTTCTCCATTATAAAACACACCATCAGACACCCTGGCAGCTACAGCAGCCACATCCCAGTGCCCTAAGCTGGACCCCAGCCCATCCCAGTTCACAATCATGAGCTGCAAAGCCAATTTACWGGGGGCTGAGTCTCCCTCTGGCGGCTCCAGCAGTGCCTGGAACAATCTGCCACTCTGCAAAGGCTCTTTGCTTCCCTACAGACAACACAGGCTCAATCTGTGGGAACTGACAGGCACAGCTTCAATCCCCGTGGCCCAGCTGTGTTTTCCTGCACAGTCACATGCAAAAGCCAGGTTAGCTGTCACATTCCATGACAAACCCAAGGGATGAATTCCAGGAGGAGAAAGCAAAAACCATCCCTTTTGCCTCTAATATGCCCRAAACAGAATTAATCCGGATCACTGAGGGAACAATCTATTCACTCTGCACACAGGAATGAGCACTTCAAAAGGAGCAACAAAAGAGGAATTAGCTACCAGCCCTGGGCAATGGGTGTAGGAGCACCAAAGCACTTTTTCCATGTAGGCTTCCCTCACACAACAGARGGATGATTGTGCAGAGTGGATGCCACACCCTCAYATCCAAATCCAGTTCCAAGCAACGWGGTTTTATACCTGCCCTTAAACAGCTCTAATCAGCAGYACATCAGACTTAGCTAGGAATCAAAGTATTTGCCAGGCAGAAATAGAACATTTGAAGTCCACTATTGTGCTGCAAGGGCAGATCGATATCTGCGTCTTCAAAGGAAAGGCAACAGCTCACAACAGGCCATTTCCACCATCCTGCACCATCTTTCCCAGCTCCTGTGGTAATCCTCAAAGCCTGAGATTTGGGTATCCTTACTGGGGGCTAGGTGACAAGAATGCATGATCTCAGTCCTCTTTCCATGCCTTACCTGAGCRGGAAGGGAGACAACCTGAGGTGGGGCAGGCTCAACTGAATTACTCATCCTGGCGGGTGCCGGACAGCTGTTGGCAGCATAGTAATTCCGGAGTTTCTTACTGTGGTTTTTACCCTGCAAAAATAACCCAGATTAAGCACTGTCCTAATAATAGTATCTTAYTCTGAAAGACAAAGGATCCAGAGACTGAAATGAGAAAGTGCCCGTGAAGGTGGCAGSCCAGGTAAAGTAGCTGTCACTTAGAAAATAACAGATCTACATTCAAGACCTGCTGGCATTCCTCCCTTTCTCCAAAATGCTCATCACCTAGAATGACTGGGCCTCATCTTTTCAGCTGATTTGCTCAATCTGTTTGCCATTTCRCTTAAAGCCAGTATTTTATATTTTAAGCATATTAACTCTTTGCACAGTTTTTTGATAAGSCTGAACACACATGAGACTGCACTAATTTCATGAGACTTCAAGCATGAGTTAAAACAGGAGACTGCACATAAAAATACACTTCATATTTTATTTTCCCCTGAAAAACATTATACCATAATTCTTTTCTGGTGTTTTGAAAACCTGATGGACAATGTGTTTGTGTATATGCATTGTGGATGCATGCTAAGGCATATACACAAATGCAAGTTATGTACAAATTCACTTCTGTCCCCTCAGGGTAGAAATTCTGCAGAAATAAGATTAAAAGTRTAACACCAATTCAACCTACCCCTTCACTAGCAGGACACTTTCTCAGGGCCAACAGCAAATGTGAAATCTGGGTCTGGTGTCCTGAGGATATGGACAACCACCCTTTGCATTCACTGGTGGAGAAAGTCACCATGTCCATTACTCATGCAAATACAACACCAGGCAGARTAGTAATATGGGGTAATGCAAGACTGACATATTCTGTCTCTCAGCAAGAAGCACATGCAAAGAGTCCCCACCCTACTCCAGACACATCAACAAAATCAACTCAAACAAAATTAATTTAGTCTGAGTCAATCCAGTTGATGAGTGTTGGCATAAATGGTCCCAGCAGATCAGTGGTGTGCACAGCCTCAGAAAGGAGACCCTGATAAATACATGGCACAGCCCCTTTGCTAATGGCACAGCTGGATGCAGCAGAAAACATCTGTCCAGGCCTCACAAAATCATGTCTGGAATCAGAAGGTCAATTTGAACTGGTGTAGATGTGAAATACAGGTTGCATAAAATAAATGAAAACCCACAAGTGTCTGCTTTTTCGCCTATGCCATCTTGGCACCATTTCTCTGTCCCTGTGGACAGAGTTTTTTTTCAAAAAAGTCCCAGTAATAACACCTTAAATGAAAGYACTGCAGCATGTCTGGACAACCAGCAAATCCAAGCAGGGTGAAGATATGTCTACAGAGCAGTTTCAGTCCATGAGGTGGTACAGAGGTAGCTCCAGATGAGCAACTCAAATGCTGCTGCTGGTGTGCAGCACTCAAAACCCCCTCGAGAAGCTGAGTTAGTCCTCCTGCATTAGCCCACACTTCCCTCTGTGCTACCACAGCAACGCTGCTGGCAGTGCTCATGCTGGCACGGGAATGTCTCCACAAGCTGCAGATGCAGCAGCCCCAAAAACTGAGGCTCCTGCTGCTCTCCTTACCTGGTAATGAGCCTGGGCTTGCTGGGCCGAATTCAGAGTGACATTGCAAAGCTTACAGCACAGGGGCTTACATAGTTCCTCCAGCATAGGGTCCTGCTCCACCACCTTGGCAAGCTCCTCTTCTTGTGTGTGATGAAAGGAAGGCCCCAGTCCCAGAGACTTCGGTGGGGACAGTGGTGAGCTGGCTCTTGGCCTTGTAGCCACTGACATAGGAAGGGATGAAGGCTTCTCAGGATGAGGAAGAAGTCCTGCTTGCTGTAGAAGAATCATTGGCCAGGAAGACTGTGAGCATGCTACTGCTGAAGGAGGAGGAGTCTTCTTCAGATCTAGACCAGAAAGACACAAATGCTGAAGCAAGCAACAATAACAGGAACACCCACAATCCAGGGGCAACTTCTGTAACTCCACTGCCTACACTTTGTGCCTTTTCACAATGCCAAGCAGGGTAAAGACAGTCTGCAACACTTTACCGCCCAGGGGAACTGCAGTATCCCAGACAACCAGGGACRGATTACAAGATACTTGTACAAGAAGTGGGTCCCCTGGCACCCTCCTGGCAGGTGAAGATTCCTAGCCACCCACAGCACCTGACAACAGCAYAGTCTCCCCACAGCTCCGTGACCAGGAGATGTGGGACATACAACATGCACAGCACACAGAGCTGTGTCAGGGGGGGATACAATCGCTACCCACAGCCTCCTTTGGCTGCCCAAGGACAAGCTCACCCTCCAAGACSTGAATAAATATTACAGTGCAAAACTGCAATGAACACTTACAAAGAATCCAAATACTTCAAAGCAGATTTACTGTACACAGGTAGATACAAAATACATAAACACATCTGTCCCTCAAGYACTCACAAAGACCTTCCTGAGGAACAGCTTTTCTCCAGCAAGTCAACAAAAGAGAAAGAGTGGGAATGAGCTGGAGTACACCTTGCTGTACACAGTCAGCTCCCAAGGGCTCTCTCCCATGGTCTTCTTGAATGACCTTGAGCTATTTTTCACATTTCCATTACTAACTACAATCAATGCAACATTTAAAGCTAYATCTTCTTCTGCAAAGTGGAGACCTTATCTCATATTAACCTTTATTCAATTATTTCTCAGTTAATTCGAGTTATTAGAGCTAGCTCTACATTTCCAACAAGAGGTTCTGAGAGATTTATTTAATTAAAGTTTATAAATCACATCTACAGTCCGGGATGAACATCCCTAGAATAATACAGAGCAGTCACATTATGAATTAAGGGAAAGCTACTTTTGTTTAAGTCTTATTAGCTTCTTATCATAACAAATCCTTTTCAGTGCCACACTGGGATCAAGAGAAGCAGTATCTTGGCCTTTGCAGACCATTCCCAGCTAGGGCTGCATTGGTACARCCATGTTTATGCTGTGGGCTTTATTCATTTGTTTAAGCAAATAATGAGACACGCCTGCATTTTAAAACAACACTTGTGGAAAATTAGGGAAAAGTAAACAAAATCCCACCAAGGAATTTTGTTCCCGTGTCACTTTTGAAAACAGGGCCTTCAAAGGCATTTAGGAACCTGGAGAAGCAGAAAGCATTTATCTGGGATAATTTCCGGGATTTTCAATCTGCTAAAATTAGCTGAGATAAATACCTTCTGCACTTGAGCTATGGAAAATCCCAGTTGATGCCTGTAATTTTAGGTACTGTATTATCTTTGGATCTCTCTTCCCAGGGAAATCAATGTTCTATTAGGAAAAATAAAACATATTTTTTTTTTTAAAAAAAGGAAGTCAGTTGGACTAAAGAATTCAAGTGACAAAAACATCTCTGAAATGTTTACCTCAAAGCCAAATTTACACTAACACAAGATTGGAGGCAGTTCAGTTATCACAAGTAACTACAAGTAAAGAAAAAATTGAAAATTATTAAAAAAAAAAAATGAAAGCAGCATGGGGACAATGTTTAAAGGCTGTAACAGAGCCACCAGAAGTTTTCATGTTTATAATAGTCCTCCACCACCAAGGGTCTGAAAAATCTCAGAGCTGGAATCCACCATGAARAAGGAAGAGGACACACAGGAATGGTGCAGCAAATCATCCATCAGCAGAGTAAATTCTGTAGTGTTACCTAACCCCTCTCCTATTTTCAGTACACATGTTTCTGGTTAAACAGAAGACAACATTTTATCTTTCTTTTCCTCAACTAGTATTCTGTAGACAGTCTAATTAGTTTCTGTGGGACTACAGATGGAACAAGTTCATATTCATGTTGGTTCAATACATCATAACAAGGACCTATCAAGGCAGCTTTAATCAACTATGTGAGCAGGTAAGCATGCCAGCTAATYTCAGAGTTTTATTACATGAGTATAATGGGCCTCTTACCTTAAAATGAGAGTAAATTATAGCCAAATACTTCACAGAGCAACATAAAGAGATGTACAGCAAACGTCAATTGAGATTCATCTGCTTAATTCTGCCATGAGCGTTTGTTGCATCACATTTTCTTGCAACTGGCACAAATGGGATTTGTCATATACAAGAGGACACAGAGCTTACAGGATCTGTATCTACGGGGAAAAGGTATAATGAAATATTCTTAGAAAATCTTTAATTTTAAGGTCATTTAGTGCTGCTTAAAGTAAGCAATTGTCTGAAGATAAAATTAAGGCAGCATGGGCAATTTCAAGAGTAGAACTTCTTGACTTGGMTTATGCAATATATGCAATTCTGATCTTCCTCTGACAGTGATCTTTAATCACTGAAATTGCTCAAATGATGATGTTCATTTCTCTCTGACTGATATTTATAAGAAAAGAAATMATTCAAATTCAGCTTATTTACAAGTCCCTTTAATCCTCCATGGCTGGTTGTTACAGCTACCCTGCCCAGGAGAAGGTAAAAGGATATTTTTAACTCCTCCTTTCCCTTCACATGAGAAGCTGTAAAATCTTTACCCTACAAAACAGCAAAGAATGAGGAACCTTCATCACCAAGGACCCCAACCAGCACAGCCGAGACAGAGTAAGGACCTGCAGCTCTCCAGGGTGAGGTGAGGAGCCATTCTGCCTCAARAGAGCCCCTCTCAGAGCTCAGCCATGCCTCCTCTGACATGCCCCGATACACTTCCATCCCATGCCAGCTGTCCTTGAGCCGATGAAAGGGGGACAGGTGCACAGCCTTTCTCCCTGCTCTCAGTCGGGACATCTCAAGGGCAGCACTGAAGGAGGAGACCCATCCTCACTGCCCTGAGTACCAAACCTGGTACTGCCCAGGTAACGGGGAGCAACCTCCACAGCTGATATCAGCACAGCACAGGGAAAGCTGGTCTGGCCTCAAATCTGAGCACCACTGGATGGGGAAAGCACAGCGTGACTTCCTTTGGTGAAAAGCACAAACCACAGTGAGAAATCTATGTGTTCCCACCATAATTTGTTTTTAAATGCAGCTGAGGCAACTAACGACAGTGATGAGATCTGCAGAAATGATGAACACGGCGTGAGTTTCACTGCTTTATCTTCAAGATGGGAAGCGTTTCTTCTCAAGTTCACTTGTCTATGGATACATGGACATTTCTGAATGTAATCGTGCCAGAAAGTTTCCTTTGGCCACGCACTGGGCCTACACCCTTCATCCTGGAAGGCAGGTTGTTTTATAACGCTGCAGGGATCGAAGGCAGCACCAAACAAACACACATCATGCACGGCTCTACCTTAAGGTGCACTGACCCTTCGCTGATGAGGATACACATTTAGCAACTCGGAACCATCCCTTACGTCAACGGGGTATCAGAAACCACGGTGTAAATCCCGACTGCTCGCAGGCATTCCTGCAAAGCTGCTTGCCTGGCAGCCTGGGGGATGGAGAGCAAGATAAAAAAAAAACAAGCCCTGCTACCTTACAGCCTGCGAATCACCGCAACCCCACGGCACCACCGCACCATTCCGGGAAGGCACAAACCACAGCGGACAGACGGGGACCGGCATCCGCATCCCCCGAGCGGCTCGGAACGCGGCGGCACCGGGGCGGGATCCCCCGGCACCGGCCCGGCCCCACGGCGGCCCCAGCCCCGCCAGCCCCCCGTGCACATCCCCGCACCTACCGCGGAGCCGGGGCGAGCGCAGGGCCGGGCCCGGGGCTCGGGGCTCGGGGCTGGGGCTCGGGTTCGCACTCAGCTGCGGGAAGTGACGGCGGCCCGGGGGCGGGCCGGGGCTGTGCCCGCCGGGCCGGGGCGGAGCTGCCGCTGCTGCGAACCTCCCCCACCGCCGCCGCGCTCCCGGCTAAACACCCTCTGGAAAGCGCCTTCAATAGTCTACAGTCCTGACTCGTGGGTCTGCACAAGGCCGTTCAGTGTTTTTTTCCTTTTTTTTTTTTTTTTTTCCCCACAGCAGATGTTACAATGAACCCGATTTGCATATATAAACATCTTCAGCTTATTCATGCTGCTCGTAGCCAAAATGAGTAATGATTTCCCCTCGAGCCACCAAGGCCTCACCCGCGTGGTTGGGCCACCCTGTTTCAAAGCATACGGAGTTTCTGTTGATTTTTCTCCCCTTTTGCTGGAACAGGAAAGTGCTGAGAGATGGCTGAAACCATCACCCGGATTTTCCAGTAGCTATCGGCCAACCCACCTGGGGATCCACTGGTTAGGCACACTGATTGCTACTGATTTTTGTTAGATCTTAAAAAATAAAATCATAGAATCATAGAATCATAGAATGGTTTGGGTTCGAATGGGCCTTAAAGCTCATCAGATCATCTCATCCAACTTGCCATGGGTAAGGACTCCTTTCACCAGACCAGGTCGCTCCAAGCCCTTGTCTGACCTAGCCTTGGATATTTCCAGGGATGGAGCAGCCACAGCTTCTCTGGGCAACCTGTGCCAGGGCCTCACCACCRTCACAGTCAAGAAATCCAATCTAAACCTGCCCTCTGTCAGTTTAAAGCCCTCCCCCCTTGATCTATCACTACATATCCTTGTAAAAAGTCTCTCTCTGGCTCTCTTGTAGGCTCCCTCTGGGAACAACATTACAGATCAGAATCAGCAGCCGTGGTGATATGAGGCAGAAGCAGCAAAGGGGCAGTGTAAAACCAGGAATGCTCATGGAAACTGCTCTGTGCTTGCTGTGTGTGTTCCGCCATGCCCTGCAAGGCTGGTGCTCCTACTTATTGCAGTGTCACCTGCAGCATCTCAGCCCGGCCACTGCTGTGAATATGGTCCCATAGGGACCCTGGAGCTTGGGGAAGTATTCCAAAAAAGAGAATTCACCAACGCCCTCAATAAATTCACATCTGGTTCCAAAACTTGATGATGCCATCTCTCCTGTTGAAAGGATAAATATCCCTTGACAACAGAGTGATTTGCCAAAACGCCTTAACAATTAATCACAGAGCTTTTCCCTGTCCCTCCTTCCTATCACCACCTCGATGCCACCCTCACTTGTTGCATCTTGTTGGTTCTCACCAGGTTACCGCAGGCCGGCGCTCTCTGTTGACCCTGACAACTCAATCCACTTGGGAGTGCGTAGTTACAATGTTATTTCTCTTCGAGTTCTAATTTGAACGGCCATTCACTTGGCGGGCCACTCTTTTCAACCAAACACCGGACTCACGTACAGCGGCTGGATGCCCGTGGCAGCGGAATGTAAAGAAAACTGGTGATCCAACTGGGAAAAGGGTCAAGAGTGGGTCAGACGCGCTGCGCTGGGCACGGGGATGTCAGACTACGGCAACCACCGGGGCAGGAGGAGCCGTTGGCTCCCCGATTCCCCGGTTCCCGCTCCCCGCCACCGCGGGCCCGGCGCCCGCCTCCCCCCGCCGCTGTTCCCGTTCCGGCGGGCGGTTCCTTCCCCATCCGGGGTCAGCCCCGCTCCCTTCCTGTTATTCCCGTGCGGGAGGCGGCGGCTCTCGGGGAGCGGCTGCCGGCGCCGCTGCCGCCCGCGCCCGGGGCACAGCAGCGGC